AAAAGTGCAGGCAATGTGCCTTGAAGTAAGACTAAGACATATCATTATTCTACTCCAAAGTTGTATACTACCTTACAGGGGTTGACTATATGACTTTTGTTATCATTATTCTACTCTAGGTTATTGTTACGACAAGCGGTCGTGTGCGACTAGGATAATCTAACAGCGACAACCACGACAGTGGTACCGAGTGCTGAGAGTCGTCGGCCTTTACAGACAAGCAAAGGTTGCGTACTCGAACGTAGCTCGTGGTGGTTAACGAGGGGTTACGCTGAGATGATAGCGGTTTACAGACAGTGAGAGGCGTCACTGAAGGTACGAGTCGATGTCGAGCAGGTAGCTTTAGCGGGACAAGGAGTTCAAGGATAAAGCTAGTTGATTGGACTAGTTTCTGGGTAGTACCTAGTAAGATTAAAGTAAGGAACATCTACTTTAATCTTCGACCTTATATAAGGCTACTCTATCGTATCTAAGCTCAGCCTAAAGCTGGGTTCTAATATGCTTATCTACATGAGTCAGAGATAGCGTCCATGAGGCGGGCTTCTATCGTAGATAGCGTCCATGCGGTACGCTTCTATCAGAGATAGGATCCACGTGGTATCCTTCTATCAGTACATGAGGCAACACGAGGCTTGCCTTCTATCTTGATAACATAAATAGGTCTTCTAGACCTATGTCGTCATGTCATGTCACGTGCGGTCCAGACCGCTTATCTAAGCCGGCAGTTGCCGCTTATCGTCTATCGTCATCTATCGTCATCTATCGTCATAGGGCTGGTGAGACCCTGTATCGTCTATAGCCGTGCGGTGGCAGAGGGCTCTCTGCTGGCGGGGGACTCGTGCCATGTTACTGTAACAGTTATATACTACCTTACAGGTGTTGACTATATAACCATTGAACAGCTCTCATTCTAAGCTTTACGTGTATACACAAGACTCTCTCTTTCATTGGAAAGTGAGACACAAATCTAAGGATGACAAAGTTGAAACAGACTTTCATAGGTTGAAACACGACCTACTAGGCTGAAACAAACCTAACGAATTTATCCAGAACACAGAACACTCCACAACATTTTGTATAAAAAAAAAGACTACACAAGAAGAGGACAACAAACTAAATCCTCCCAAGAACTCACCATGTTACCTCCCATGAAGTAGAAAAGTTGGAGACCATGGACTTAAGGACTGGCAAGAAGTCTTCACCATGTATAATTGTGTTGTCATTATACACAACTTTCATATAATACCCTTAAGTAACAAGACAACATTCCTCTTCCTCCGCCTCTCTCCGAGTGTCTGCCTCAAGTCACACCATTTTGGCCGCCATTTCCGCTTGTCTCTCCTGAAGGAGCTGTCGGGCGGATTTCTTGTTGCCAGAAGTGGAGTTAGACATGCTAAAGCAGTAATAGGAATTAGAGGGAAAGTTTTAGACATCTCATGGGCGCCCCCAGCCTTCTTTTAGGTCCAGTTCTATTTTTACGAGCTCCGCCCATCATCTCACATTCATCAAAGTCTGGACCGGACTTCCGAATCAGAAGCCTCATGGGCTCGGCCCTAAAGGGGGGATACTGTCATATCCCATATTCCAGACCCAGACCGTTCACACAATCATCTCCAAACTTCAGGATCCAGTTAGCTTCTATCTTCCGTGCCTTTTCCCTTTAGTATTTCCCTTCTCAGTTAGTGTGCTTTATTTTCCGTCCCTTATTCATTTCCTTCTTCATTCTATTAAGTTCCAATACACTAGTGTTAGGTGTTCCACATGCTCCATCCATAGCCTCACATGGCCTCACACTGCACTGACTGTTTCTCCATTATGTCCTTCATAGTATATAAACTCTGTAAAGTCTCTGTATTTCCTCTGTTTCAAATATTATCTTATATTCTGCTCATTCCATCCTCCATCCAACTTAAGTCTCTTCTCGTCGTCTCCAATAGTCTTAGGATCGACTCCTATTGACTTACCACCTCCACCTCTACCTTTGGTGGTCCTCTGCTGTTTTCGAATGTCCGCCGGAATTCCTGCACATCGGACTCCAGTCTCCAGACATCGTCCTTTAGCCCTTGGAAGTTAGGAGCACATACTCGGATAAGGGGTGCAGTGCACAAGCTAAAGCCAAGCCCTTCGGATATGACCCTTGAGCATGTTCTTAACAACCTTCCTACTCCTATCAGCAAGCACATCATTGCTTGGTCTCTATGTCAGACCCTACTGTCTCCTACACCCTTCCATTAAGGCATAGGTAAGGATAATACATCTTCTGAAGGGCATATGAGGAGTCATTCTGAAATGCACAATCATGAGTGAGGCAGCTCCACTGATAGTTCAGACACCTCCTCATAGCTATACTATATATCATCATATCAGTGTCCTAGCTCAAAGTTATTCCTCATACTAGCAATTTGGAGACATATAACAGGAGTCAAACTCTGAATCTTATGCCAGTGCTAACAGATGACACTGCAGACATTTTTCCATTTTCCTCCACCAAACATCCAAAAAACATTGATTAAGAAGATAGAAATTTCCCCTCATTTTTCCTGTCAAAACATTGAAAAAAAGTAATTCATGTTTCAATAGTGTTCTGTGTGTGGGACATGATGCAAAAATTGGACATGTTCCTTCAAGGATAATGCTGTATTTTTGATGTATTGTCTTTGAAATAACAGCTGAAAATAATGTTAATTTTCTTCTCTGTATTTTTCAAATATACACAGAACATTTGAAAAACATAGTATATTTGAAAAACACGGAAAAGAAAATTAACATTATTTTAAATTGTCATTTCAAAAACAATACATCAAAAATACAGCATTATCCTTGAAGGAACATGACCAATTTTTGCATCATGTCACACACACAGAACATCATTGAAACATGAATTACTTTTTTCCAATGTTTTAACAGGAAAAATGAGGGGAAATTTTTATCTTCTCAATCAATGTTTTTTGGATATTTAGTGGAGGAAAATAGGAAAATGCCTGCAGTGTGAGTTCACTTCACATAGCCTACACCTGTTAGTTATATGATCATTCACCTCTATAGTACACATTTCTATATCTCTTATGCATCTAATTGTGTTATTACACTTATTGTATCATTTCTTACACTTTGCTACCTATTTATATGATTTTCTAATCTCCCTAAGATATCTCTAGGTCAAGTTATTACTTACCTTTGGATTGTGGCTTGTCTGTTTACATTTGTTTATCATATATCACCTATATCCCAGAGTCCAATGCTCCCTGCCTCTTCAGCAACTTACTTTAGACTCTAGGTATTGTACAACTTCACTATATCATTCAATACATTGGCAACTCACTTAGAACTCTATCACACCTAATGTATTCAGGATAACTGGTAAGGAGGAGCTTAATAACCTAGTTTTGTGTAGATAGAGCTAATGTTTTATGAAGTTTTGGATCTTTAGAGTTAGGGGTCTACACTGTATCATGCACTGCAATAACAAAAATACTAATTATTAGTGCTAAGGATTTTAGAAGTTACTTCTGGACCACTAAACAAGAATTCATTATGAGTATAGCTAGGTGCTGTTGATCCATTGGCTAAAGTTTATTCATGAGGCTGTCACTCCTAATTAGTTATTGATAAGTGGAAGTTATGTTTATTCAACACATTGCTAAAAACGAGTGTCCAGCTAGCTATTATATCAGACAATAACAAGTAACAAGGATGCAGGCTGATATAGGTTTGCAGAATGTATTGTTGGGCATGTGCTTCAAAAAACTCAACATTAGATCATGTGACAAACGTGTTCATGTGACATCTATGTTTACCGCCTGTAATGTACATCCAGCCTATATGAAAATTTAATGTAGTCTACATCACACCCCAAGATTCCAAGAGTAAACAAATCATTAATCAAACTTTTATAAGGTGATGAGATGAGCAAAAGTAGGATACAAGATAAAAAAATATGTAAATCAAGCCAGCTGTGCCTCCACAGGAATATCCAACCAAGTACTACCATGCTTCTTACCAGAATACAGTATGGTGGAACCTAGTGGCTGAGAGAACAGATGTCTTACATTGCAGGCATGATTCTTGTACTCAAACACATAACTCTTGTCCTTGGTGCCCTTGACATAGGCAGACCTTCATGAATTAGCCCATCCACAGCCACTGCATTGGATAGGGAGGTGGTGTCTCCAAGGATGGAACTTCACATGAGCCCATGCAAACCTAAAGATAGTAAGGGGTCAGGAGAAAGATGTCAGAGTGGCACCCAAGGTCACAAGATTGCACAAGCATATCCTTGAATGCCAACTAAATTGGGTAATGCTCAATGAGAACCTTCTCTGTGAACACAATGAGAAAGTGAGAGGTGAAGGACAGTTGAAACCAAGGAGCGAAGAATGCAATGATACTGGTCAAGGCATGTCAAAATGGCCCAAAAATTTTACCAAACAATAGCTTCTTGCAAGCCAACAAAGAAGTCAGGGTTGTTGACCATGGAGCCACAACATCAAAGGTTGCGGTGTGGCATTCTCATATGGCGTCAACCAGATGTAGGTGCGTGCAATTACCGTGGGAGGTGGTGATGTAGAGAACCGAACTGTCTGTCATAATGGGGTGCACCTGTTCTTTTTGTTCTATTTCCTAACTGACGTATTTTTTTTTCATTCATACAGTTTTGCATCATTTGTAGGGACGGTGCAGAGCGCTTTGAGGAGAATACTCTCTTTTTGTGTGCTCTGTGTCCCAAAGTCGTCTGCAGTCTGGACCATAAAGTAAAGGAAGATCGTTTCATAATGGTTTCTAGGGTATCAGGCTTGTGGGAGAGCATTAGTCATCCATGCACCAAACCAGTTTGGTGCAGGTCAACGTGTTGACAATAGAGATGCATCCACAAAACATGTGGTGAGGAAAGGTTGGCCTGAAATAGTAGTTAGTATATCACAGAGTCACAAACAAAAGAAAAACTATTAGCATCTGTCCAGCTCCCTTTCAATGTTTGCCCAGGTGCTATGCATGAGCGTTCAATAACGATAGGCAGCGCGTTGGCCTCCGTCATCCACTGCATGCTGTAGTTGTCGAATGAAGTGATCATTTTGTTTACTTGCATTTTGTTCAACAGCCTGTCGTTGTACATGCTGAATTTCAACATATTCTCACTCACGAGTATATTGATTTTGCCAATCCCGATCTTCACAGCATTGACTCCCGCATCGAGTTGTTGGGTTTCCCGTGCGAGATCCGACATTGGCAGCGTCGCCTGCACTGGTCAGGTATTCAACCTAAATGTGTTGCTGGTTGATGCCACCTATTTGCATCCGGTATGTTATTGTCCTCACCCAACTTGCTACTCACTTACATCATGATCATTGTCAGAGTCTTCCTTGGCTTTTCTCTTTCCTTTGCGTCCTGGCATGGTGGTTATGTTGAAGGTTAGCAATTACCTTGTCCAGCCACACAAGTTCCTGCTTTGAATGTTTTGTCACCACCAGCCACTCCTTTTCAAGGATATTCGTGAGGTCGTTTTGATAATTCATGAGTGCGGACACATAATCGTCGTCGTCGTCACTGATGCATTCCTCGTAAGTGTCAAAACATTGGATGGCAAGCTTGTCAATCTCATCGAAGACAGAAATGAATATTGTCATGTCACTGTCTTCACCTGCTCTGATCTTTTCGGTCAACAGTGTCAAGGCTGTCTGTGCCCATTCATCTATATGAGACTGCACCACCAACAACATGACTTCATGATACATCGGGATATCTTTGTCCTTTGATGCCAATTTCAGAAACAAGTTGCTGCTCTCTGCCATGTAGAACACATACATCTATTGGCAATATTAGGGTTCTGACTATCACTGCCTTACATTCAAACATACCCCCATGATCACCTTCATGGCTTGCTCCAGCCAACGGACAGAAAGCTCGCGCCATTTCCGATAATGGGGACCCAGGGGCGAAATAGCTTTCATCAACATCACCATCAAACGATGGTTCTTCAAGACTTTTGTGAGTTTCGAGTTAGGCTTATGGGATGGCTTATCGTATTCCATTTGTGAGAATCTTGAGAGCTCCTTCACGTCCTCCCTCATCATACCCATCTTGCATGTTTCATAATGTCGACACCAACTGCTCCTCTTGCGTCTCCTGTGTCCCAAAGTCATCTGCAGACTCTGCCTGAAGCTGCTGCCTGCCATAGAGGTGCAGTTCCTGCAAGAGGACATCTCTTTCAGGTGCATTTGTTGTCACATCAAGATGGAACTGGACACACCCTACTTCATAAGTTTTATTTTTATTTTTATTTTATTTTTTCACAACTGATAGATGACAATAGGGTTTCTATAACACTGATGGCCTGCCCTTGTTAGACAGGTTTCTGCCTATCAGCAGTGCACTCAAGGTCTCTGAGCATGCTGAAATATCGGCTGCTCCAGTAATTGTCATTCAAAGGGGTATGTCAGCACTCCAGCGCATGTAGTGTCGGATCTATATGTGGTGATATATCAGTGGTACTAATACATTCAATAGACATGATCGAAGCAGGAAAGCGTGAACTTGCAATTCATCTAGCTGCAGTCTGCAAGTAGCCAAAGGTCAGATGCAAAGAAGGTGTTGTAGAGTAAAGGAAGATGAGTAGTGTTGGTATACATGGTTGAAGTTGAAAGAAACAAACCATGGGAAAATTGTAAATAGTTGATATACCATTTGTTGATTTGTTCTTGTTTGCCGGAAATGTCATGTGCACATTTGTGATTGGTTTTTGCATTTCTTTCAATCTTCTGTCAACAATTGTCTTTTGTGGATGTGTCTCTATTGTCAACGTATCTCCTTTGTCACTTGTAAGTTTCTTTTCTTTTTTTGTAACTCTGTAACATACTAACTACTATTTCAGGCCAAACTTTCCTCAACATCAAAGGCAGTGCTGCAGTTACAGTGGCTCAAAAAAGTGTCTCAATGTTTGTTGCTTTTCATGTAATTGCTTCAGTATGAGTCAGGGTGTGGGAATCTGACTATGCTATAGGGAGGTGTCAGAAAGTTGTGGTTAATAATTGGTACACTATCAAACTTTTTTGATAGTGTGCCTAAGTCAGTCTTTTTACAGTGCTTCATATTACTAACTTTTTGTATGTTTATTCAGTTGTTGATAGCTGGCGCGCCTTAAAGATCAGTCTTTCCATTTCGCCAAGTGGCTGACTTTTCTTTAGTTATTTAGATATATTCTTAGCTGTCCATGTCCCCAGGGACTGGTGCCTCCAACCTTGGGCTCTGGGGATTAGTATTTGGCTATTCATGTCTCCAGAGACTGGTGCCTCCAACCTTAGGCTTCTCGGGGTTAGTTTTTGGCTATCCATGTTCCCAGGGACTGGCACCTTCATATGTCTGTCTCTCCTGTCAAGTCTAATCAACCAACTTGATCTCTAGCTTTAATGCATTGACTTTTCTGGTTTGTTTTTCTTTTTGTTTTCAAGTCTGCTCTGTACTAATGGTGTTTTTTCTACCTTTCTCTCACACATTGTCTGGTAGTGGTTTTGTTTAGGTAGGTGTTATTTCAATATTCAAGATGATACTGATTTTGCCATAGTTTTGGTGGTCTGCACTTGATGCACCTGCTATCTTTTTTTTACATGTTTAATTCAGTAAGTGTCACTTTAATATTCAATATCATACTAACTATTACTGCAGTTGGCTAATTATTAGCTTACTTTTTCACTTTTCTTCATTTACTGTAGGGTGCAAGGCTAGGATGGAGAGAGCTTTACCATCCCTGTTTTGCATCATTTACTTTAGTGTTCTTCATCTTAGTTTTTTCGACTCGGACTTGTGTACTTTGCTTGGTGTAGGACATAAATGTATTACCCTTGTATGAGTATATTCTGAACATGTGACTCATAACTTCTTGTTCAAAAATTAAGCCACATGATCATGAGAGTGATGCAAGGTGACATGTGCCTGCCATAATATGCAGCTTCCCCAGTGTTGAAAATTTGCCTTACTGACCGCACCTTAATTAAAGTAAGTTTGATTGTCTACCTTTTGAGCCTCACTCATTTCATATGCCTACTTTCTATGTCCATGAATGAAAATAAATTATTTTTGTATAGTTAGGGTTGTTAGTTAGTGTGTAATGAAAGAATACAATGTTTCTGTTCTAAGTACATCATTTTCATGAAGGGGCAGGGCAGCTGCATTTCTGTTGTGAGTATATCATTGAGAAGGGTGAGGTCATTGACCATTATTAATACACTCACTCTGATAAGAAAAGAAAGTGCAGATAATCTGCAACATCTCAGAAGATAACTACTGATTAGTATAAGAAGCATAAGAATGCAAAAATTATTGAGAGCAATAATAAAGACCAGCCCCCAACTGTCCCAGGTAGTCCTATAGTAGTTTACTGTTGTCAGTTCAGTAGATGAGTCAGGACCAAGTACAAATGACCTCCCTCAGTTCAACTTTAACACCAAGTCCATACCAAGTATTAATAAGCCTACTTGATTCAATACTACCAAGTCAGGACCAAGTACCAATGAGGCCTTCAGTTTAATACAAACAAGTTTGTTATAGGATTTGACTTGATGCATTTTGACCCTCCTGAACCTCTTAATCCTAACACTATCTTGGCTTACATAAATATGTTGTTTAATCCAGATGACTTCCTTTATTTCAATGGCACTATCTAGTTGTTTTCTTAAGGATACTTATTTTATTTCGTATATATACTGCAGAATTTAACTTGCTATATTTTGATGCTATCTTGACTCATATGAATATATTATTTGGTTCAGATTTTTCAATATCAATGGCACTATCTAGTTGTTTATTTCTAAGAATACTTAGTTCATTTCATAAAGCATTATATATTGACTAAAATTTGACATTAAGCTAAATATGACAAGGAGAGGTACTATGATATATTTATATATGATAATAAGGACCAAGGAATGGGGATGTGACACATGTGCAAGTGATTACATAGGCATGTCAGCCTTCAGCTAAGGCATTAGTAGGGGGTAGGGAAAACAGGCAGTTGTTGCCAACAATTTGAGACCAATAAAAAGTAAAATATTTGCAATATACCTGGAAGATGTGTTGATAATGTGGAGGAAGCCATGATAAGGATTAGTCACATTGACAACAGTGAAGTGGGCTAGCAATTAAAGGGATTGATAATATAGGGAAGGCCATAATAGATGACATTAATGACAAAAGGACAGCTTGGTATTCAAGGTGGTGAGGCAGCAATGAGAAAAAAGTGAATTAAAATATTGATTTTATGAAGGAAGCTACAACAGGCCACATTGATAATAGAAGAGTAGAGGATAGTCTGGTAGTCAAAGTGATAAGACAATGCTTGGTTTGGGACAGGGACAGTCCTGTGATCTTGAAGTTGCCTAAGGTACAAGATATAGCATTGATGATATAGGGAAGGCTACAACAGATAACATTGACAACAGAAGAACAGTCTAGTAGTCAAAGTGATAAGACAGCAATAAGAAAAGAGTTAATTAAAACATTAATTTTATGGGAGAAGCTACAACAGGCTACTGTCATATCCCATGTTCCGGACCCGGACCAATCACGTAATCATCTCCGAACTTCCGGATCCGGTTGGCTCCTATCTTTTGTGCCTTTTCCCTTTAGTATTTCCCTTATTAGTTAGTATGCTTTATTTTCCGTCCCTTATTCATTTCCGTCTTCATTTTACTAAGTTCTGATGGACTAGTGATAGTCGTCCCACATGCTCTGTCCATAGCCTTGCATAGCCTCGCACTGCACTGACTGTTTCTCTATTATGTCCTCAGTAGTATATAAACCCTGTACAGTCCTTGTAGTTCCTCAGTTCGAATATTATCTTAGATTCTGCTCATTCCCTCCTCCGTCCAACTTGAAGTCTCTTCTCATTGTCTCTGACAGTCTTAGGATCGACTCCTATTGGCTTACCACCTCCGCCTCTACCTTAGGTAGTCCTCTGCTGTTTCCTTTCTAGTTCAGACTTTGTCTGGATTAGTCTTATCACTTGTTTCCGAATGTCCACCGGAATTCCCGTGCATTGGACTCCGGACTCCGTACGTCGTCCGTTAGCCCTCGGAAGTTAGGGGCACGTACTCGGGTAAGGGGTGCAGCGCATGAGCTGAAGCCAAGCCCTTCGGATACGACCCTTGAGCACATTCTTAACAGCTACATTGACAACAGAAAAGTAGAGGATAGGCTGGCAGTCGAGATAATAAGACAGTGCTTGGTCTAGAATAGGAAAATTAGCACAAATATTGCTTCAATGATAGTAACAGCAAGCTTGAGTTACCCTGGGAAGAGATTACAATAGTCAAAGGAAAGGGAGGACAGGCAATGCTGCAGTCAGCATAGATGATAGTAGGGGAAAGCTAGCAGTTGACATGATAAGGCAGCACTTGGTCTGGGATGAGAGAAGTAGTATAAATATTGCTCTTATGATGATGACAGCGAGCTTGAGTCATTTAGGAGAGAGGTTGTAGTAGTCTAAAGAAAGGAAGGGCAGACAACACCATAGTTAGTGTAGATGATGATAATAATAAGACACATATGGGCAGATAGGTAAAGGTCATAGATGATTTGGGGTAGTATTTAATGCTAGTGTTAAGGTTGAACACAAGCAAGCCTAATAATAGTTGGTGAAACACATAATCATCAAGTGTAATAAGGCTTACTAATTGGGCAACCTAGGTAATTAAAAAGAACTCAGTGTGACAGTGTGACTCATGGCTGCTAGCAAAATAATCAGTGCAAACTTCTCAAGATTATCTCTGTTTGAATGCAAGTAGAAATTGCATACTGCAAGATCAGTAATCCTATAGGACTCCCACAGGATTCAGTTGCCAATGCAGGACCATGTACTGCAGAAGTGCACTGGTAGTATTACTACCTTGATTGGTAATGAATCCTATGGCAGGATAGCTTCCAGACTATCTACTTTGTTCCTGGAAAAGGCAATGCATTTAATAATACAGTAGCACCATACTGATATATCTGTTCTTCAGAAAGAATAGGCTATTTTGTCAAAAAATGTCTATATAATAGATTTAACAAAGTTATTAAGATACACTAGAGCATGGACTAGAACATAGACTGACTATTGAGAAGGAACACTACACATTGAAATGCATTGCTAAGAGCTATACAAAAGGCTATTGAAGCTAATACTAACACTAACTATAAAGATCGAATGTTGAAATGTCAACATGTACTATATATTACAGACTCATTTAGCTACACTCTTTTCCCTCAGTCACTTATCCTGGACTAAGTATATGTCATCCATTGTCCTGCCTGCCTAGATGCTAATATGTATTTTAGTCTAACTGTATCAGCTAGGTCTTAAAGGTTATGAGCCCTGGCTCTGCATAAAAAACCAAAACCTCTAGATAGTTTAGATTACAAGGTTCTTTTCCAAGTACTTCAGCATACCATAGATATCACTTTATTTGTTGTTCTAGCAGGTGCTAATTTTTTTTTTTCACTAGCAGGCACTACCTAGTAAATCAATATTCTATGCTTAAACTATCAGCACTTCCCTAATTAGGGCTGCTTCTTCGAAGGATCTTCCAGATATGTTAGGCATATATATATCACTCCTTACATCATTATATTCTTCCCTATTTCTTTATCCCCTACCATCATTATGACACCTCATACTCATGTAAGAACCAACCTTGACAGAAGTGGAGTACCACTAGCTAGACTTAATGTCCTACAACCAATCACCACTCTAGTCACACAGCCCACCATACCTACTCTACCTGCTGCACCTACTATAACCACTACTCATCTGATGCTGTATTACACCTTCACTACCTTATTGGCTATCTCTATCACTGCATGTCATTTCTCAAAGACTGTCCTTGATAAAATTAAACTCCTTGACAAAGTTAAGAATAACTGGTCCTTATGGTCTGAGCTCATGCTGGAGTTCTTTCACCTAAATCACCTTGAAGGTTACACCATAGATATGGTTACTCACTCAGATGCAATATGTAAGCTTCTAACAGCTAGAAACTAGAATCTCAACAATGCTAGCATAGTTGCTGCATTGTACAACTGTATATCTCCTAATGACAAGTACATCCTTGATAGTATTACTATAGCCTATAGAGCCTAGAATACACTACATCCACACCATTAGAAACTCAGGCCTATTGCTCAGATCTTGAAGATCCAGGAGCTTCTTAACATCTACTACTTGAAAGATGCTAATGTTGCCAAGACTAGCTATCATCTTACAGAGGGAGTTCATGCTATTTTTGATATGGGTATCCCAATTCAGCAAGTCTTTCTCTTAATCATCATACTAAACACTCTTACTGGTGATCTATCCTACATATGTGATCAAGTCACAAGTTCTCTTGCAGCTAGTACCACTATCAATTCTTTCACACCAGATAACATCTGTGTCTGCTTGGATATGAAACAACAATCAATAAATGTCAATAAAAACTGCAGCTCACCTATAGATACTATTCTTGTTACCTTGGAGGGAAAATCTAAGACCTGCCCTATCTGCAAAGAAGTGTAATACAGAGATTAATGCTGCTTTTATTGTTTCAAGCATAGCCACATCATTGCTGAGTGTTTTACCAAGGGTGGTGCCACACATAGTTATCGTGACGAGATCCTTGCTACAAAATGTACTGTATGCAAGAAATGCGACAATAATGGCTCCAAACCTACTAGGAATAAAATGTTTACTTTGTCCATCACACTGACTCTTCTGGTCAAGCATATCTCTTAGACAGAACTACTAGAGAGGCATTTTACATTGTGACACCTATTCCAGCACCTACACCACATTCTAAAGAGTTTGCTAAACTTATGCATGATACTATCATATCCAGTCTCATTCAGGAACTGTCTGAGTTAGATCTTGTGAAGTGGGACACTATTTTTATCAACTGAAAGAATCTACAGATGACTGTTGACTGACATATTCATAGCCATAATACTGAGTTTACTGGTATTGCCAATAATACCCTACAATGACCAAGGTACACTATTGTGAATCTCAAAGCTACCTCATTCTATCTTAATAGTGGTGCTTCTGTCCATATCTCTCATAAGCTTTCCAACTTCTTCAAGCTTCATCATTTGCCCCCTTGTTCTGTTTAAGGCATTGGTGGCTTTTAGATCAGTACCATTAGAATTGGCTCTATTAAACTTTATATTGGTTGTGGACTTCATATCACCCTCCATAATATTTTTGTATCTTCTGCTGTTATTCACCTAGTCACCATCTCTAGCCTCTGCAGTGCCAACACCTATACTGTACACTTTGATGCTAAGTTCTGCTGAGTGTCCATAAATAGTGGTGCTCATGTGTGTCACAAGTTCCAAATATGAACTATTATATTTTTCTAAATTCAAAGTCCTTTAAGCACCCAGTCATAGTATCTATACCTAAGAATGTATTTAGGTTTGAACTATAGAAGAATCCAACTCTCGTGCTACACTCTTGCACATATATTTCTCTCACCTGATCATGTTGGAAATCCCTCTATACCATCTAGCAAGACAAAGCTATTGTATTCTTTGCCCAGCTTAACCATCACAATCCTTGATTTTCAAACTCTCTTATCTTTGCTCATTTGAGCATATTTTCATACCTATCACCTTTTATAGTTAGTAGTCCTCTACTAGGGCCTGTCTTACTACAGCTGCCAGTAGATAGAGGTGTTCACAACATTAGGCAGGTCACTACAACTTTGAGTGCTAGCCCAAGACCCTGCCTGCTCAATGTTACTATAGTTTTATTTTACTAATTTTTTTCTCTTCATATGCACGTAGGTACTCATTTTGAGTTTAGCAGAATTGCTTAGGTTCTTTTTTGGCTTTTGACTTAGAGGATTTAGAGACTTGTCCTAGTGAGACTCACATGTGTAAGCTTCAACTGAAAGTGTGATAACTTGTCCTAAGCTTGTATCCTCAAATGAAGATTGCCTTAGATCCTAGTTCTTCCTACTTAATCAAGTATAGCTTTGATAGTTTTTCCTTAGTCAATAATCAGGAAAGTGTTAGTTGGGTTGATTAAAGAACCATTTGACTCTAAGTACATGATAGATCTAATTAGATATCAGGGACTGCTCAGTTTTTCATTTATGTATCCTTTTTCACTTCCTTTTTCATCATCTTTACTTTTTGGAAATTAACTTTTTAGAAGAGCTCTTACGAGCAGCTCTTCACAGACATCAGTGAATCAGGTTCCAGAATATAACTGGTACTATGTCTGAAGCAATACAATCTCAGGGACTGGTTATTCCTATAACTTCAGAACAGTTTATGCAATTTGTGCATGAACAGGTTCAAGCAAACTTGAACATCTTGCTTACCAAAATTGCAGAGCTAGAAAGGAAGAATCAAGAACTTGCATCCAAAAATAAGAACTTAGAGTTACACTTTAAAATATAAGAAGACAAGACAGTAAAACTATCTGCTTGATAGCCTTCCTTTGGCACCACAGGAGCAGCAATGATAATACCCTCCACTCCAAATATTTAGATTGCTAAACCTTTGGACTTTACAAGAGAAAAAGACTATCAAACTCTAAACCTAGATGGTATAAGTGGCACTATGTGTCGCAATGGCCCAAGATCTAAGACACTCAAAAGATGTTGGTCATACTTTCATTTATGAAAGGAACTGCAGGAAAATGTGCACAGAAATATATTGAGAGGCTTGGAGAAACTGATGATAAGAAACTTACCATAAACAAACTCAAACAAGACCTAGAATCTATGTGGGGTCAAGAAGATCAAGAAGGAAAATCCGTGAATTAGAATTCTTTAGGCAAGGATCTTTAACTGTTCCCAAATATGTGGCTGCCTTCAAGTAAAAAGCTGCACATTTTTCATTTTTCAACTATGACCAACACCAGAAGTTTAGGGCTGGAACTCTAAGACTGTCAAAATATAGCTTGTTTATGTCTCTTAGAAGGACAAAGACATTATGAAGAAACTGGTGGAACATGCAATCCAAATCGGACACAACTTTGAAGAGCTAGATGTGGAAAAGAAAAAGACTTCTTGGTGGACCCACAAGACACTAGGAATCCTGAACCATACAAGGCTGGTCCTAGTAAAGACAGTGACACCATAGACATTAACTCTAGCAAGCAGAAGGGTGCTCCCAAGCCCCAAGGAAAGGCTGGTTTCTTCAAATATTACCACTATGGAAAATAAGGCCATATGGCAAGAAACTGTCACAATGTGCCAAAAGCGCAGGTGAAGGCTACTATAGTGCCACAAGAAGATTCAATGCCTAGTTGGTTCAAGGAATGGATCAAGTCCAATAAAGGCAAGGATTTTTAAAGGGGTCGAAGTCAGAGTCTGTAAATTTAGACTGAAACAATTGTTTCTTTATACTATCTATGTTCTCAGATGTATCAAAAGTATTTATTAGATTCAAATCTGAGCATTTTGACATTCCAATGACATTGAAAGGAAAGAACTGATCAGCAGATGTGAAAGTGCTTATAGATTGTGATTCATCAATGTTATTTATTAGCAAGAAGTTTGCTGCCATAAATTATTAAGGCCTATTCCAGTTAAAAACATAGATGACTCATTAAATGCTGCCAGATCAATGTCTCATTTCGCCAAACTAGGTCTTAAGATTGGTGACCATGTTAAGGATCAAGCAGTCCTTCATGATTACAGACTTGGAAAGTGATGATATGATTATTGGCATTGACTGGCTAAAATACCATAACCTAGAAATAGATTGGAATGCTGGACGCTTTGCACTTTCTTATTGCCCTATTAAATATATTACAAAAAAAGAGAATGATAAGAAAAGGAGGGAGGAGGGGCCAGATCTGATTCCCACAGAAGAGGATGGCAATGAAGACATGGCAATGAAAAGGGTGACAGTTGAGACAATAGAAGATGAAGAGTGTCCTGGAGAACGAATCAAGTATAAAGCCTCAGTCATTATAGAGCAGAAGGTAGCAAAAGAAGCTATGAAGGTAAAGAAGTTGGTTGAAGAAATGATTCCTGACTGGCTTCATGAGTGGCTGGGAGTTTTCTCAGAAGAATCTAAGCACTTCCCTGAAAGAAAGAAATGAGATTATGCAATAGATCTTAAGGACAAAAATGATCTTCCTCCTAATGCAAAACCATATTCATTGTTACCCAAGGAGATGGACACCTTGAAAGATTGGTTAAAAGCTGAAACTGCACTGGAATGTATCAAAGACTCACAGTCCCCAGTAGCAGCACTTTTTATTATTATGGCCAGACAGTTAAAAATGCATACCCGCAACTGAGATCTCAAGATCTGATTGATGCTTTAATCAGTGCTACAATATACTTCAAATAGATGTAAGATGAAAGTACAATAACATTCACATAAAAGAAGGAGATGAGTGGAAGGTGGCCTTCAAAATGCTGTTTGGTCATTATAAACCAACCATAATGTACTTCAGTTTAACAAACTCTCCTGCCACATTTCAGACAATAATGAACAAGATATTCAGAGATCTAATTGATGGAAAGACTGGTGGTGTATATCGATGATATTCTCATATTCACAAATAGTGATAGAGAGCAATACTGAAAGGTTATAAAAGAGGTTCTTAGATGACTGAAAGAAAATGACTTGTATCTGAAGCCAGAGAAATGTAGCTTCAAACAGTCTAAAGTCAAGTTCCTCAGGTTGATCGTGGAAAGTGGTGGTGTTTCAATGGACCCAGTAAAGGTAGAAGAAGTAATGAAATGGCCTTTTCCCAAATGTGTTAAAGATATACAAGCATTCATGGGCTTTTGCCAACTTCTATTGAAGATCTATTCTCAGATTCTCAGATATCGCCAGACCAATGAATGATTTGCTGCAAAAGGATATCAAATGAGACTGGACAGAGAAGCAACAGAACATCTTTGATGAATCAAAGAGGCAATTCACAGAAGCTCCAGTCTTAGTCATATTTGACCATTGAGAAGAAAATGAAAATAGAAACTGATGCTTCCAATTATGCAACAGGAGTAGTTTCATCTCAACTGATGGAAGATGGGTTATGGCATCCAGTAGCTTATTACTCAAAGTCGATGAATGATGCAGAGCACAATTATGACATTCATGACAAAGCGATCATTCAAGCATTGGAGGAGTGGAGGCACTATGTACAGGGAAAACCTCACCATGTGGAGATTTGGATGGATCATAAGAATCTCAAGTACTTTATGGCAAGTCAAAAATTGACAAGAAAGCAAGCCAGATGGAGTTTGTTCCTGGTGGAGTATGAATTTATGCTCCAACATAAGCCTGGTGTAGTCAATGATAAAGCTAACCATCTATCTTAGAGAGAAGACCACAGAGGGGAGGTAGAAAACGACAATTCTGACTGTGTTTTTTTAAAACCAGAGTTTTTCACTATAAAAGCTGCTAAAATAGGCCAGATTCTGGTGCAAGGAGCAGAATTTGCTCATAATAATTCTGTTACTATAACTGGTCATAGTCCATTCAAAGTACTCCATGGATATAACCCTGAGTTTACCTTTTTACTGATTTCCAACTGTAAAGTACCTACAGCTGATGAATGAGTGGATGTGTCATATCCTGCATTCTGGACCTGGACCAATCACGCAATTATCTTCGGATCCGGTCAACTACCTATCTTCTGTGCCTTTTCCCTTTAGCATTTCCCTTATCAGTTAGTATGCTTTATTTTCTGTCCCTTATTCATTTCCGTCTTCATTTTACTAAGTTCCGATAGACTAGTGTTAGGTGTTCCACATGCTCTGTCCATAGCCTCGCATAGCCTCGCACTGCACTAACTGATTCTCCATTATGTTCTTCATAGTATATAAACCCTGTAAAGTCTCTGTATTTTCTCAGTTCGAATATTATCTTAGATTCTGCTCATTCCCTCCTCTGTCTGACTTGAAGTCTCTTCTCATTGTCTCCGACAGTCTTAGGATCGACTCCTATTGACTTACCACCTCTGCCTCTACCTTAGGTAGTCCTCTGCTGCTTCCTTTCTAGTTTGGACTTTGTCTGGATTAGTCTTATCACTTGTTTCCGAATGTCCACCAGAATTCCTGCGCATCGGACTCCGGACGTCGTCCGTTAGCCCTCGGAAGTTAGGGGCATGTACTCAGGTAAGGGGCGCAGTGCACGAGCTGAAGCCAAGCCCTTCAGATATGACCCTTGAGCACATTCTTAACAGGATGCAATAAGGGAAGCAAAAAAGGATGCAGATAGTATGCTGCAGATGGCAAATGAACAAATGAAAAGGTTCTATGATAAAGGAGTCAAAGATGCACTACAATTTGAAAAAGGAGACATGGTCTGGCTTAATGCCAAGGATATCCACCAGAAAAGACCAAATAAGAAACTCTCTGATCAACAACTTGGTCCATTTGAAGTGCTATCATTAGAGATGCACATGTGGAAGTATGCCAAAGGCTTAGATTTTTAGTCTAGGCATTATTGCATGAAAATAGGTGATAATCTGATGGGAGAGATAGATGTTACATGAAAATCTCAAGTACTTCATATATATGAAAGTGTGCTGAAGTGCTATTCAGAGCTGAGTAGGTAGTGGTAGTATGTAACAAGGGTCCATAACATAAGTAATGAAAATATAAATGACATAGCTTTGAAAATATGGCCAGTCTAATACCAATTGAGTTAAATACGCACCAATAGACAAGAAGAGGACACAGATAGGATGGGGGAAGGATGTGCGATGGAGCTGAAGAAAAGCCAATACAAGCTGTAGCCATTGGCCAATAACAGAATTAGTGCATGCAATGCGAGGACCTAAGGGACACTGCAAAAACAGCCTCTATAGGGCCACAAGAACTCCAAGTCCTATATTGCCATACTCCCTTGACCCTAGTCCAAAGACCTCTACATCACCACACACTGTCAGAGATCATATCAGAAGGAAATTCTGAATGGATAGTGTAAAAAGTCCTAGACTCGAGACTGCACAGATCCAAACTCCAATACCTAGTAGAATGGGAAAGATATCTGATTGAAGAAGCGACATGGGAACCTGAGGAAAACCTAGAGAATGTACAGCTGAAAGTTTAAGAATTTCACTGACAAAATCCAAAGGCATTGAATCCCTACAAAATTAACAAGTTGGTGTTTGAAACAAAGGAGTTTTTGGAATGGCACAGGAATTTCATTTGTCCTAATGTCTTTCACAATGACACTCAACCTAGAGAGGGGGTAATGTCACGAGTTTCAAATACAAACCATTATACCTTTATAAATTCAAAGTTCTTTAAGCGTCTAGTCATAGTGTCTGTATCTAAGAATGTATTTATAGTTGACAAAGTGCCTACAGTGTCTATTGTAGAGTTACCAAATTCTCCTATATATGATCTTTTGGAAGAACCCAGACTTAATGACATTATATTACGTGATACTCTTGGAATGTTCCAGAGTCTTACTGCAGCTGCGACACATATTATGACATCATAGTTATATATAGAATCATACGATACCTTTAATTATTCTGATTGATAGTTAGTTCATACTCAGTTTCAATCTTCATCTCAATATATGTATATACATAGGTAGCTAGTTGTAGTCAGTAGTTCTTCGGTTCTGCTGCTACATTGTCCTACCAGCAAAGTCTTCATATTTTTCATGTATTATTTATTGAGTCTCATGAAACTATCCCCTACTCATTCTGTGTAACTACTGATCCTCCCAACCCAGATGATATAGCACCTGCAACCTATCCTCCCCTATCCCCTGTGCCAGCAGCCCCCTCTGATATAACCTCACAGCATTTGATACATGTCATCCAATCATCCAAATATATCTGTACTATGAATGATGTTCCATATATCCCTCCTACAACATGTCATCATCTGCAAACATCAGTGACCAAAGTGCCTGATATTAATGCACCTCAGATTTCTCACATAAACCTCTCTGAAGACAACCTTGCATTACTGGTTGATGCATTTGCTGTATTAGTTCATGAAGACTTTGAACACAAGTTCTCTGATGACCTAGTCACCTATGCTGATGCTATGGCCTCCTCCCATGCTGCCTAATGGTGTGCTGCACTTCAGGAGAAGTTTGACTCACTCAAACACACTGGCACTTACTCTCTTGTCCCCTATTCAGATGTACCACAAGGACATCATATCATGCAGGGTAGCCCTATCTTCAAACTGAAACATAATGAGAAGGGACACCCCACATGCTTTAAAGTGCAATATGTCTATTAGGAATTCACTGCCATGTATAGTTAAGACTATACTAAGACCTTCTCACCTACTGCATGTCTGAAATAATTTTGGGTCATGGTCCACCTCAGAGTAGCCCTTGACTGAGATATTGAACAGCTCAACATCAAGACCACTTTCTTAAATAGTCTTCTTTGATCCTGACAAAGTCTACTATATGGAGCAACCAGAGGGTTTTGCCGCATCAAGGAAGGAAACATAGATCTGGCAACTCAAGCAGGGGCTCTATGGCATGAAACAAGGTGATCATTGTAGCATTCAGATTGGTACTGGGCCTATATCCTGCCAATTCACTTCAATGAACATATATTGTATTCCTTAACACTCCTTTGACCTTCTGAAAGCTCTGCATGTTTATCTGAGTCGTCTAAAGGTCATCCATCTGTTTCTGAAGCCTGTTCTCACTTGCGATCCACAATACCATATTCTGTCTGTGTCCATTGACTTTGCTGGTGCATTTTCACCTTGTTTTGTCTATTATCGAATATGTCATAGAGGTACATACATTATCGACCCATCAGGAGCTTAATTAATACATATAGCAGCATGCCTTGTGCATTATTATATGTAGTAGTGACTTGCCTCAAGTCTTATTACATTTCAGATAACTTATCTTGCTACTACTTTCATCTACACAGTTTTTGGACTTTCACACTGTAGGATATAATCTATGGTGTGCATCACTTAGCCACTACTACTTTTGAACAGTGGCCAAATCAGTTTGGAAAAAATTTAAATCTTAACCCTACATAGTTCATTGGCTGCACATGCCACTCAGATGCTTCGATATTAGTTTGAAACATGTAGCACTACAGTAGACAACAACAATCTATTGCACAAATGTTATTTTCACCAGTCTCTGATGCCCAAGGATCACAAGAAGGTAGTGGCTGCGCACGCTAGGGCTGCACAATAGTTAGCTCCAACTGCCAAGCATCACAGTAACTCTACTTTTCAAGCCATTGCTACACAAACTCATTCCGAGTTGCAGGAACAAACAGCAGAGCTGACCAAACTTGGCAGAGAATTTAACCCAATAGAGCTGGACTCTGAGTATGAGTGTGGATATACTGGGGGTGTCAGTTGTTATTGGTCCAATACAGGTGATGAATATGAAACAGACTTGAATGCTAATAGTGAAAGGTCAGAATGCGATAGCCTCTGCGAGCTAGAGGGTAGTGAGCTTGAGGAAAATCTGAGGGAGCTCCAAGTAGAGGTCATAGCCCTAGACACACCAGTGGATACTTTGTTTGATGGAATCTCTAAGCTGAAGACAGGTGCAGTTTGGAAGAAGGCAGAACAGATCAGATCACTTGGATACAATAGGCTCTTTGGTTGTACTCAGCAGCAAAGGGATAAGGCAGCACAACAAAAGAAAATGAAGACATTGTATGTATCAGTGTTAATGGCCTGAAAAATGAATCTGATACACACCTGATTAGAACCAATTCACAGATTGCATTCATGCGACAGTGGTGTGCAACCAAAGATGATACTGTGCCTGACATTGGACCGAGTGTGGATGAAACACATTCAAACACTGCTGTAGTAGCACAGCCTCTGCAAGCATGTGACACAGTGATTGCTTTTACTGGCTATCTTTCAGACAAACCCAAGGATGTGGTTGACTCCAGCTCAGATAACAATGACAATGATGATGATGATGATGACGATGAAGGACTTGGAGGGGATGGATATGACATAAGCAATCAGTTGCCTATTGTGCAGCCACTCAAGTGTCATAAGCTTAATGTTCCTGCTTATGCCCAAAAGAGAATACATACAGAAAGGTGTGGAGATGAGAGGTGCATGACATTGGAAGCCATTGGAAAGCTGTTGAAGTCGAAGAAAACCAAGTTTATTGGTAGTTTGGGTGGCCTGCAGGCAAAATGAACATGTACCATCCAAAGTCATCTTGCCCTCATTGTCAAGAGAGGTTACTCTTCAATTGATGCATCAAAACGTGCAGCTGAAACTCATGGTTTTGCATCTGTCTGGGGTGGTCATCAACTGCGCAGCTGGACCCATGCCTAGGTATCAAAATGGGAGCTCCCTCAGTCATTGGCTGGCCATCATGTGAAAGTGTATTCATTGCTCGAAGACTCTGCTGTTGCTGCCAAACTTCATGCTTATCTTCATTCAAACAAATGAGCAGTCAATCCCAAGAAACTTGCATAGTTTTCAAAGGACAAACCTATACCTTCTGAAGCAGAGAAATATATTTATGCCCTTGTTGATGACGAGATGCCCTGTGGCTTGAAGAAGTACTTGGAGCTTGAATTATTTCCTCGCATTCACCTCAAAGTTGGATGTAAAATTTCCTTTGCTACTGCTCATTGATGGTTGAAACAGGAAGATTTTCGGTACATGTCGCACCAAAAGGGCCTTTATTTTGATGGCCATGACCGGCCTGATGTGGTCCAGTACCAGCAATAACATTTTTTACCAATGATGAAAGAATATGAGAGACACCTTGTCTGCTATGTTGTTGGAAATGTTGAATCAGAGCTCAATGGTACAGAGTGCAATTTTGTGGAGCAGCATCTCATTCTTTGTACACATGACAAGATGACGGCATAGTTAAATTATGCAGTTGATCAATATTGGGTCTTTGAAGACCAGTTCAAGTTGTGAAAGAAAGATATGAGATGTGGCCTTCATCATAGTGATGTGATCTGCTCAACAGTTGGACATATAGTGGATGCAGATGAATCATCGGAGTATGGAAAGAATCACAGAGGGTATTGGAATGGTGAGATGTTTGTGAAACAGGTGGGTCTTTCACATTGACTCATTCTCAAAGCTTTTTGGCTGATATTATTTATCCAGCTTAGTGACAAGATTATTCTGACTTTTGAACATATCTATGGTCTAGGATATCAAGCATTGTTCCTCATCAATAACCCTCAGGGTCACTCTGCATATGCTAAAGACGCCTTGCTTGTTTCTCGCATGAATATCAATCCAGGTGGCAAGCAGGCTCATATGCGACCTGGATGGTTTATGCACAATGGCATGAGAATTGAACAGAACATGATATTTTCTCCCAATCACCCTCAATTTCTGAATGAACCCAAAGGTATCAAGCAGGTCTTGAGTGAACACGGTCTCTATCAGCAGCAGTCTCATGGAAAGTGTGGCACGAAGTGTAATGTTGATGCAACAGCTTGTTGCAATAAACATATACTTGAGCTCCAGCCCGACTTTTAGCAGCAAAAGTCATACATTCAGAAAGTCATCGAAAGCTCTGGTCATCTCTGCATCTTCCTCCCGAAGTTCCATTGTGAACTCAATTTCATTGAATATTTCTGGGGGAAGGTCAAAAAATATCTCTGAGACAACTGCGATAGCACTTTCAAGACCCTAAAGAAGAATATGCCCTTAGCGATGCAGTCTGTGTAGCTCAGTACTATTCAACTGTGGGAACATTGCATACACTGCTGGATGGAAGCATATCGGACAGGTCTGAGCACAAAGGATGCCTAGTTTCAGGTCAAGCAGTTCAGCTCTATGAAGTACAAGTCTCACAGATATATCTCAGAGACATTGGCTTGCATTTTTGATTGATGGGGAATCATATTACTTTAGGTGGCCAAATCATCTCTTTTGTTTTTAAAAAACTTGCTCAGATTTGATTGAATCAAAAATTCCTCTTGTAGCTTTACTTTACTCATTGAAAGGATCATTTTTAAAGAGGATATAAAAATCTAATTTCTTTCAAGGGGGTGAGAACATTGTTCAAAAGTAGTGGTGGCTAAGTGACGCACACCATAGCTCACTAGCTACCTCACACTTCACTTTACTTGCCTTGCTACAAGTCATAGTTAGTAGAGTCACTTTTGGATAGTCATACTTCATGCAATTGATCTTTTGTTCATTCAGAATGATTGTTTGGCCTAACCACTGCCATTTCGCACCTCACTGTCTTAAAGTTCTTTGATAGACTTTGCATAGTTGTACTTTGGTACTCTTGCAAGTCTTATACTTCAACATACTTTAACATACCCACCATATTTACTCCCAGAATCCTTACTATTTTATCAGAAGCTCTTTGGATACTTCGCGCACCTTTGGACCTTCGTTTCTTGACTTTGGACTACCTTCACTCGCATCAGGCAAGTACTTCAGCACTTCAGACACATCCTCAGAACATCAGATGCACCTTGAGTGACTTTTCTAACTCTCATCTTTGATTTTAACAAGACATCCCTTGCATTTTATATCAAGAAATAGTTCTTCAGATAGTCTCTTTGGGTCAAATCACACTCACACTCATACCTTTGAGTTCTAAGGTAACAACTTTTGTAGTGCCTATATAGGATCAACTCTTTACATTGTGTATGGAACTGGACAATGCATGCTGCCCTTCTATCCTGGGGCTTCAAACAGCTTGAATGTGAGCACTGCATATACTTTTGTTGTGATCAATTTGGCACAATTATCACTGCCATTCATGTTGATGACTTCTTCAATGTAGGTAGCACAAAGCAGGCACTTGCCTATTTCAAGACTTAATTGGGAAATCTCTGATCTTAGTAATGTGCACTTCTGTGTAGGTATCACTATTTAATGTGATAGGACCAAGTGCACCATTGCCCTTTCCCAAACTGCATTCATTGACCAAGTCCTCACTTAATTTGGCTTGCAGGATGCATACCCAGTCTCCATCCCTATGGAACCAAGACTTCACATTTCGTACAAAGAGCACCCCCCCACAACAGATAATGATTGCAAATGCCTCATTAAAACACCATACTGCTTACTTTTCAGTAAACTCATGTATACTGCTATTGATACTTGCCCTGACATCATATTTACAGTCCAAGAGCTATATAAGTTTCTCAATAACTATGGCAATATTCATTGGGAGGCTGCCAAACATGTGGTCCACTACCTGAAGGGTACTTGTGAGCTGAAACTCATCCTCAGTGGCTCACACCCTACCTGCCTGGTTGGCTACACTGATAGTGATTTCACTAACTACATAGATACATGATGATCCATTGGCAATTACTGTTTCAACCTCAACTCTGGGTCTATATCCTGGTGCACTCACCAACAGAAAACTGTCCCCCTATCAATAAATGAAGCTGAATTCATTGCTGCTTGTGAAGCCACCCAGGAAGCTGTCTTGCTATGTACCCTGCTTAGACATATGCACAGATTTTAAAAACCCATGCAGGTGACAGGTGTAGGTACCTCTCAGGTACGGGTGTGGTTTGAGATTGAAAACACTAGTTATTTTCTCTCAACTATCTACATTTAAAATATCAGTATTTATATTATAGTACAATAATAAAAGATAGCTGGTCTGTCATACTAAGTAATGTGGTCTATGGTTCATATTACAAAACATTACATAATTGAGAGGTTCTGGTCAAGTTGCGCTTGCCGGTACTAAGTACATTCATAATCCAACAACGGGTGCAGGTCTGTATTTTGGATACCTGGACCCTCACCCACACCCATGCTCAGGTTTATCCGTGCAGATCCCTAGCCTTGCTTCTCAGCCTTGACTTCAGACAAGACAGTTCTTTTCATCTGAATTGTGATAACAGTGGGAGCATCATCCTTTCAGAAGACCCTTTATTTCACACCAGGATGAAACATATTGATATCAAATATCACTATATCCATGAGCATGTGCACAAGAAACAACTTTGCCTACACTACATCCAATCAAAAAGCAACACTGCCAATATCTTAACAAAAGCCTTACTGAAGAAAAATTTCCTGCATCTTAGGAGCACTCTTAGGCTCTACTAAATGATTCCAGGCAAGGAGGAGATGTTATGCAGCTAGCATTGAGGAGGAGTGTTGGAGCTAATACCAATACCAACTGTGGACATTGAATGTTGGAATGCCAACATTTGAGGACCTCTTTCTTCGAAAGCAGCCTTAAACCCTTGAGATGGTTCCAAGCGAATAAGTGTGAGTTGCTATCTGTAGGATTGACATGAAAATGGTTCATTAAGGCAGCCTTCGGGTCAGATGGTCCTTCCTGCTCGGCCCAGAATGTATCTTCCCCCAAGATGGGGGAGGTTTTTGTGCTTGGGATGTGAAACTTTGTTACCAAAAGGCCATGCTGGTCTGTTGCTTCTGAAACTCCTTTTCTCATGATATGCTTCGCCAGGTCGTAGCTTTTTACAAGCAAACTGCACAACAGGGAAGGTTCCCAGAGACAGGACTTGCATGAGTGGTGCGCACCTTCTTATTGTTCTCATAGACCTCCTCCGGCTGCTGCAGGGCTCTCTTCTGACCTGAGGCTTGGTATGCTGCTGGCGATGTTGTAGAGTGCACAATGCTCTGGCTGTTTGCTATGAAGGTTGCTGTTGCTTGCTGTGATAGCGTAGATGGGGAGGTAGGTGCGTGTGTGGCATTTTAAGAGACAGTGGTAGTAATGGACGCATGTTTTGTAACACAGTTAGGCACGTGATTGGCCAGGCGCACATTTATCGGTCGTGATGACCAGTGCAAAGGGAAAGGACATGCATTCAAAACACGGGTGTGGTTTTTGTCAGCGCATGACTGGCCAACAAAAGTGAAAGATTGTGCATAGTGAAAGTAAAAATAAAAAGGTTTTTGAGAAAAGAAGACAGTACTGAGATGAGAGTGGTTTCAAGATGGAGAAGTGTTGTGATACTGACCTGAATAACTTTCGCCACCTGCTTCTCTAGATGGTCGTTGAATAGCTCCTCTCTCGCTTCTACTAAAAGGTCTTGATTGATCTCTTCCAGACTCCACCCTTGTGACATGCCTACTGTGAGATGCCATCGGCAACATTGTTGTGCTTGGTAGAGTAGGAGAGCTCACTGCTTGAGCTGGTCAGGTACATGACACCAATGATGGTTCTGTAGCGCAGACCAGAATTGGATATGCATGAGCACCTGGTTGTCTGGCCAGTCTTGAGTCTTCATCATGGTGATCATGTGCAGCGCTGCCTCGTTAAATTCCTCCCAAGTGAGGTTTTCGTCTTTGATGATGGCCAAAGCTTTTGGGTCTTTAACCGCTGCAGCTGGTACCCATGCATGGATGCTGTTGGCTTCTGGAAGCAGGACTAGTGTGTCTGGCTCCACGACTAGAACTGCAGCTTTGGCGTCATCTAAGCCCTTGTTGGTAAAATAGTGCAAGTCACAGAAATGTCCCACTTTCAATTTTCTAATTGCATATGCAGCTGGGATGATACTAGGATCGGAAGGGACCTTTCCGTGTCGAATATGTACATACTTGTTCTTGTTTTCTCCCGCTCCTCTAACTGGGCAGCTTCTTCTTCATGAAGTAGCTGTTGGCGTTGTTCTTCCTCTTCTTGTTGCCATATGTTATTGAGTCTTTGCTGATTGAGTGCCCAGTGCTCTTTGGCTGTGTTGTTGGCTATGGTCCATAGCGACGTCAAAGAGCAGATTGCTTGTTTGTTCATAAACCCATCTGTGATGAGTTGCTGACGTGCATCTTGTTGAGTTCAACATTGTCATCGCTCCACTCTGTCGTCATTATTCTGAATGTTTTCCTTTTTCATCTTTGATATTCTGGACTCAATACCATGATATATAATCCATAGCTTCACATGATTCATACCTCAGCGGTTCTATTATTATGATGCTGAGGTATGTATCTTCTACTTGCACACTGTCTATTTCTCACTCTGTTTCACGTATAGACTTGTTTACTAGCCTTACCCTTCTACACATCTCAATGCTCATTGGTGCCGAAGTCTGGTCTGACTGCATCATTAGGGTCCTCTTGTAACATTTAAGTTGAGAGACGACGTAAAAGAGTGAGAGACTAGTAGCTAGGACTCCAGGCCATATAGTGATATTGATGTATCAATAACCTATAATGTATAGTGTTGCTTTAATACATTACTTCCACCAGTCAATAGCTTGCTAGGATGGCACAGTAGTGATAAATCAGTAGGTGGATCCTTAGGTCTGGGCAGTTCCTGGCCTTCTCTAATGGGTGCCTTGCTTCTTTTGCTGACATATCAATGGTGGCCTGGCTGAGATCTAGATATCTATTCCTGGTACCCTTTGAATTACAGCCGACACCTTCTCGAACATCACATGAGGTGCAAGTTCAAAATCTCACCAAGTCCAGCATGTCAATATAAGTAACTTAGATGTACCTCAGAATATGGAGTACCGATGGCAGTTGTGGGCTTGGAATTCTACGAAGTACACACGTTCACCCACTCCGACATTTGAAACAGTCGAGAAAATTTAAAATTAATAATGTTGGCCAAGAAACAACTTAATTGCAGTAAGGAGAACATGACTAGTGAAACTTAAGTAGAAATATGTAGTACTAATTACATTCAACATTCATCAGGGTCACCTCCTTCCTGCTTTGCGTGAACTTGTGTTGGTGGCACCAATATTATTGGCCTCTTCAACTCATTTAGATTGGAAACACTATCATTTCCTGCAGTCAGAATTTTCCTCTTCAGTACCATTTATTGCTGAAATGGAGATTTTTTTTGTGCGTTTTGAACCTCATTGACACTGAGGGGCAATGGATGTTGTGGCAGAGTGCTGTAGGGCATCAGTGTGCGATACTGAGGCAGTGTCAGCAAGAAGCAATGCCAGCGAGGAGTTACTACCAGCATCTAGGCCATCATCATGAGTGAAGTCATATATGTTTGAGGGTGATGTGAAGAACCGGTGAAGACGCGGAGACGTGACTCCAGATACAGATGGTGGTGCCTCAGGAGGCAGCAGGTCTATGTCTCAACTATGGAGGAGTTCTATGAGAGACAATGACTGCCCAGCGTCAGCCGCCAGTGTTGACTGACCATTGTTGGTAGCAGGAATTTGCCACTGTGGTGGCATAGGTAGGATAGGGAGTTGCAGATTAAAATTATCCATGTTGTCTTCCAAGGGAGGGAGTTCAAGAGCCTCATCTGCAAAATGCTGCAGATGGGGACTAGAGAAAAAGTCGGTGGTGTCGAGCATGGCACTGATGTCATGAGAAGCAGGATTGTTGGAATTCTGACCATTGTCTGTGGAGGGAGTCGCAACTGGGGAAGGAGATAGAGTGGTGTCGACGTTAACGGGGCCTTTAGAAGAGGTAAGAGCAGCTGATATATCAGCTGATGTGGGACTTAAAGTTGTGTCTTCCAGAGAGGTTGTAGTACTTGGTGTACTCAACACAGCGGCCTCTGCTGTGGTCAATGAACAGTAGTTAGCATATTTTGTTGAATTTTCCAGTAAGACTCAGATGAACTTACAGAATACTCAGTGAACAAATTCCGAATACGGTAACATGACATTTGTTGTGAACTGCAGGTAGGCCTGGCTATACCTTTTTCCCAGCTTTGTCGTGCCAACATGAAAACTGCTGATGTCCAGTGTCCCACCAGCCACAGCATCAGGACCATCCATCAAAACCAAGAATGTCCAACCTGTCATCAGATGGAGCTCCTTGAAAAACTGGGTAAGAACTGCTCTGATTTTGGATATGTAGCTTGATCGAAATTAACGTGGTGCATTAAGACAAAGCACATGTCGATGACTCACACTGCGTTATCTAGGGATGCGCTGTTCTTTTTGATCTCGTCCATTTCAACACGCTTCTTCTCCTTCATCACCTCTATTGCAGCCCAAATCTCTTCCTTAACATCCTTGGACTCCCCTTCAAATGCCAGTTTTGTCTGCTCTTTAATGATAGACAGGTTCATCTTCTTCGCTGGCTTTGCATTAGGGTCACTCTTGAGGGCGTCTTGCTGGCATTTGACAGCATCTTTGACCTTATCTTGGTAGTGAAGGTGCACATACATCTCCCAGCCTTGCAGAGAGCGGGATGGCTTTTCTTTGGAGGCCTTCGTGATCGATTGTGGCATTGTGAGTAGCATTAGCTCTCCTTCCTGCCTTTGAACTGTTGAGGTCATTGCGCATCTTTTCCATTAGCCGCTGATGAACTGCCAATTAGTGAATGCATGCGTGGTGAGGTTATTTATTCATACCTGTCGCCATACCTTCCACACCTCAGCCTCTACATTTTTTTGTTCCACAGTTAAATATACGTCTAGTGGGATATCTGGAAAATTGGCAGCCCGGTCTTTGAAGAAAGGATTCCAGAAGGAGTCGTAGTCTCTGTCTGCCTTGCAATCCAGGAATTTGGCATCATATGATTGGATGAACAACAGTTGTTCAGGAGAATATTGACTCCGGGGAGCCATCTGTTTCTCTCGAAGTGACAATGTAATTGAATTTTTTTTTGATGATTTAGAAATGAATGTGATTTCAACAAATGAATGATCTGTTACCGTCAACTTGTACCAAGATCTGCACAGACCAGGTCTCAATTTTCTTGCTGGAAAAGGATGCAGCGCAAATACATTTTTTTTCAAGGTCACAGCTCAATATACTAGTACACAGAGGCCACAGTTCTAAATACTCAGTAGCGAGAGGTATTGTATGCAAAGCCTATTATCAGTCCCACAGCGACCCAAACGTTCCGGGAGGGTATATTACACAAAGTCCGTCATCAGTCCCGCAACAACCTGAGCATCCATACATCTTACGAGCATGTTTTGGTGACAGCCATGCCCATGTCATCCATGACTTTAACTCCTACAGAATTCAGACATTGTCAGATCACCCCCAGGAAACAATGTGGTATAACTGACTCATTTACATGCTTCTTCAGCTGAATGTAACTCGTGTTCTTGGTCTTCGGTGAGTGCATACCCAGCCAGATCAGGCCATAGTACATCACGCTCAGGCCATTGCTGCAGCCAGTCGCTATACAACTTCACAAAGAACTCTTTGTGTTCGCTAAATGGTGCTCAATTGTGTTCAGTCATCCATGACATCAACCACACATGCTGATCTTGTGTAGGTTGCCATCTCAGCATCTGGGAACACCTATCATATCAGAAAGAATGGCCCAACAATGAAGATTACTTACGACAATATTAATGAAAGAGGTTATGGTGAGTGATCAAATTTTTTTTGGTTCGTGTTGTGAGCTAACATTGTTGGGTGAAATTAAGTCACACTTCACAGGTGGTTGCCTGGTTGTTTGGCATTCAACCTGCATGGACCAACTTGAGTCAGCCCGACAAGGACAGTCATATGCTAGGTCTTCTTGCCAAGAAAGGACATTGTGCATGATTACATTTCATAGGTAGACACAATGAAACACTGCTACTACTAGTGTATGTCTGCCTGGCAGACACTATCAGTATACTGGTGATATATCTCCCCTTTTTCATATGCCTTGTCCAAGGCATCAGAACCAATCCTAACATATGCAATGACATCTTGTAATGAGACTCTGACCTTTCACAGATGCATCAGCACTGCACGCTCAAGCCCCTGTGCTTCTTCCTCTAAGTCCTTGATTGTGTCAAGTACTGTTCAAATATTCCCAAACACATTCTGCACTTCCAAGTCCTCGCACTCAATGAGTGCAACACACAAACCCTCTACAAAGTCACGAGATGAGTATCCAATGACCGCAAAAAGCTTTTCATCAATTTTTCTTGACTGGACGTGTCTGGTGATGGTAAGTAATGAATGAAATATTGATATCTAGACATAGTACATTTGTTGACACCTTTCTTGGTATCTGGCTCGTATTTTTTCACGGTTCCTATAGACAGCCGTAGTTAGGTGGATATGTAGCTAACCACGATGATAATATACCTTTCATTATAGACTCATCTATAATTGCGAGCAGCCTGAGCTTTTTATTCACAGGAGTTGTGCAATCGAGGGCAGCCCATGAGAGAGTCTTGGTACGAGGGAGATTTACACACAATGTGAGTACAAATTCTTGCATGGGTATTTGGTCACGTCTGAGGGAGATTTACTTCACATAGTTGATATGGATTTGCCACCCAGAGATGCCATGCCACTGTATACCTACCTAACACTCATCCAATGGTGTGTAACTTATAAATTTTCACTGAACACTGATAATATACAACAAGTACAAGTATTTTATTTGAACAGCTCAACCTCTGGAACGGCCAAGATGTCGAGCGCGAACCAAATGGTGAGGAAATCATTGTACCAAAACCATGTCTTAACCATGGTAGTGTCTATTTTCATCCGATTGATTGACTTGGGAGGATCTTCATCCGCTCTGTTACTGTTTTCCTGCAATTTTGCTATCGGCATCATGTCTCGCCTGTTACGATGACCGTCAGGTCATCGTAGGAACTTGGATAGGTCTTCTTAGCGACAGCTCGAATGAGCCCACTGAGGCTAAGGGTGTTCAGCGACTTAACGGAATGTCAAGGGTTCCTCCTGTAATCGCGGTAAGAGCAGTGTCTCGTCGAGATACAGGGCTAGCGGATACGGCTAAGCGTGGGGAGCGACTTAGAAGTGCGGTCTAGACAGCTAAGCTGGGAGGCTTAGTTGAACAGGTTTCAAGGGAAAACCAAGTAGATTAAAGTAAGGTCTAAGTACAATAATCTGTCTACTTATATACAGTCTGTACATAAGGGTTCAAGCTCAGTCTGTATCTATAGTATATCTGTGGATCTATGTCTATCAGAGATAAGAGTACATGAGGTCAGTCATGAGTACAGATAAGATACATGAGGCATAGCCTCTAATCAAGCATGAGGCGCCAAGGGCGCTCCGGATCTTCATGAGGCTTCATGAGGCGGCAACAATCAACATGTGCTGATCTAGGGTGACCATGAGGCGTACAGCCTCCATGGGTCAGGTACAAGGCCTTCTAGGCCAGGGGCAGTGTCACAGCGGTCCAGACCGCTGTCATTCTAAGTTCTAGCGGTGTACCGCTGCGTCAGGAGTCTAGCAGAGCAGGGGCTCTTGTAGATGTTGCAGATGACTGTAACATCGCCCTTCCAAGGTGGCTAAGCTCAGGATTGAGCATTTCAGGCATGGAACTCTAAGTACCAGTACTCCTGCAGCCCCACTTTAATGTTTATGGGAATACACTCTCTCTTTGGATGGTCACATGAGTCTGTGCACTGAGTATATCCCACTCCATCAATCCACCTCTGAACAGGAGATTCAGCCTACTATCAACACCACTACTGCTGATCCCCAGGACTTCCTATTGAATGACTACTGGAATGAGGTACCTATTGATACCAGTAGAGAGAGCAAGTGTGAATTGCTGCATGAGAAGCAAAAATGAACAGCAGCCATACATTTTTGTACCTTGTGACTGTGTTGACCATGTTGAATAGTTTGATAGGATACACCTATTCTAGTATGGATTCCTGAGCGCGAGGCATTTCTTGATGAAATGCTTTGTCTCGAGGGGTGGGGCTTTGATGCACAATGAAGTAATTGTCACTGCAGAAGTGTCAACTTGTCATTTTGGTGCAGGGAATGTTTTGGAATGGAGATGCATTGCAAAGACTGTCTTCTTGAGTATCACCATCACCTCCCATTACACATCATGGAGGTGAGCATTTTGCTGAACTTTGACTGCATAGTAATTAACATGTGTATAGATGTGGAATAGCTCATTTTTTGAACAGGTATCTCTGAAAACACTTGGCTTGCGCATCCAACTGGGCCACAATCTACGTGATCGCTATCTAAATCCACGACCATCTTCTGGCGATGACTTTGTTGTGATAGATGTTAATGGTATTCACGAAGTCGCACTAGATTTTTGTGAGTGCCCCACTGCACAAATTCGGTATAAGCAACTTCTCCAGGCTCATTGGTATCCAGAAACCACTACCAATCCATGCACCACTGCAACTTTTGGTGTCCTAGAACATTATCATCTGCTTTCATTTGAGTCAAAAGTGTCTGCATATGAATTTTACCACAGCTTAGCATGGTGCAGCAACAATACAGGCCTAATACCAATCAGGGTGAGTGATCCCACTCAAATACACATTATCAGCTGCACTGGAACATTTCTCATAGGATCGTTATGCACCGTTCATGTGCATGATTCACGAATGGAGGCACTTGCGGCAACTTCGGCGTGCAGGGAGGGGGCATGATCCCAGTGGTATCAATGCCACACAAAAGGGCGAGCTCGCTGTATTGTGTCCTGCATGTCCGCAGCCTGGGAGAAACTTACCAGAAGGATGGGAGAATGCTGGACCAGACTCAAGGTGAGGACTTGAATGAATGTTACAACCTGATGATGAGAGGTTAAGTATGTTCTACAGGTGGTGTTATGCACTTTTCATTGCCATGGATGCAAACTTCCAGCTCAAAAGGAAAGCCGTTTCAAGTGACCAAGTGGACCCTGGCTTGAATGCTGGCTGGGCTTACTTTGTTGAAGAAAGGCAATATAAATCACACTTGAATGATTGCATGATTCAGCGGCAAGAGGTGAGCCTTTCTCTTAAGACTTGCCTGAATCTGAAAGGTGATGCAATGCCTCATGCAGCACAGTAGCTGTGTCAGTCACAATGCCATCAATATGGCAGACACGAAGTCTTTGCATGGTTTAGCTGCTACTGGGGTAGGGACTGTGGACTGCACCTGACATGATATGAAGTGTCTGAACGATGTGGGTGACCTCCAGAAGGGGGAGAGGTACATTTTCCGTGGACCTAGTGACATCTACATCAAACTGACCCATCATTTACTAGGTATATCAACATGGATTACCTTGTCTTATCTACCTTGGCGAGTTCATCGGTACCAGTACTCAATGTGTCTTATGACATTGCATGTCAGTGGTCTAAGAATTTCTGGGCCTGAATGGAGACAATGCCGACACACCTCCACCTCCCCCATGAAAACCTCGACATTCATTATTTTGTCCCAAAGTTCCATATTGGTGCACACATCAAAGAGTGTCAAATCGCATTCTCTTGGAACTTTGGCAAATTTGTCGGACGGACAGATGGTGAAGCACCAGAACAAGGCTGGGCGAACATAAACCAAGTCGCTTCAAGCACAAAGGAGATGGGCCCTGGCACACAGCGCGATACATTGGACAATTATTTTGGTGATTGGAATTGGAAGAAGATTACTGTGCTTGGTATGTAAATTTCAGCTCTTTTCCACTACAAAATCTCATAGGTTTGTTTATCTAGGACGAACTCTCAAACATAAAATGGTGGATGCTGTCAAGTGGAAGAGCAAACATTGTCGTGCTCTAGATAAGCTCAAGGCAACGATTCATCCATGTTTGGTTGTGCAATGGAAGGGCGAATTTGAGACATGGGAGGAAGATAACACAAAGCCCAATCCTTTTCAAAGTCACATTGTTCATGAGTATTCTAATTCCCTCCCCTTGATCACAACTCTAATTTCCTTTAGCAATCACACTGGCAGCTGTGTGTTTACAGCTAGCTGACTTGGAAGCTTCCAAGTTGCAGGTGGGGATCAACCATTCGCTCCATTGCAACATATCACCCAGTATTCTTATCAGCACGGGATTAGATTTAGAAGAACAGCAGTACATGATATCAACACAATTTATTGGCAAATTTTCACTCGCATACAAACAGACAATGTCTTCGCTGTGACACTGCCAACCTTTCCCTGCACCCCACTGACAAGCAAAAAGAGACGCTAACACACCACACCAACACATTACAACGCAAGATAGACACTTGGGCTCGTGTCCAGGAGTTATACATGCCCATTGTACCTACACTTTGTTCATCAGCGACGAATCCTGCTGCACAAGATGCCCTAAAGCCGCAGGATTTCCCTCTTTACCTGCCATCTGCACTTGATAATGCCCTTGAATGTGATCAACAGCTCTGTGAGTATGAGTGGGAAATGCACTATGCCCAAGCTCTGGATGCCCTAAATGAGGTCAGATCCCATCTACACCTGCGCTCACACATGTACAAGTTCAAGGAGAAAAATTTACGAGGCCAGGCTGCTTCCACACGCGCTCAGGCCCTCATCGCACACGTTGAGGCACGAAAGGATGCTAGTGTTAGCAAGTACCGACGTGCTTGTGCTGCACTCATTGCACTCAACCGTAAACTGGAGAAAGTTGGCTGGGAATTCACAATCCGCCCACTCCAAAATGAGGATATTCGACCCATGGGCGATTTTGCTGGTGGCCATTCACAAGGAACGGGGATGCTATCATGGATCTGGGTAGCTCATCGAGCTGATAATAGTTGCACCGAGAATGACAGAGTTCAAGACTGTGAGTAGTGTATTACATTTACTTGGGTAGGGACTCACTGGACTTCTCTATTGCAGGTGTCCATATTGAGTGGTGCAAGGCCAGAGCATGCGCATCTTGTTGGTCAGAAGAAGTCAAATTGTTGCTCGAAGAGATGCGAAGAGTACTTGCATACCTAGAATGGGAGATAGGCATGGCAGTGCCGTGCAACACTACACCAACTTATGAAGCGCCAAGAACAAGAAGGACTTGCAGCCTACACATTTTGCCAAGCAGGTTTGCATGCTGATATGAGATTATCTTTCCAAGGTATGTGGAATGATGTGCCAATACTTGTAGCATCGACGTTAGATGCTGTGGATGATACTATTAGCAAAGGCAACGATGAAACGGACGAGGCTCCTTCCCTCCATGCTCCACCTAGTACACACAATTGTTAGACTTGTCACCAGTAGTACACTGCTGAATGATGTGATCTGTTGATGCCAGTACACTGAGATTCCATCCCAATTTCACAAACGATGTATCTAAGGTATGACGAATGAGAGTTCTATTCTTGTTGTACCAGATCTCATTTTTCGATCTCGTGAACATAGATTCCATTGTACAAACATAGATCTAGGGAATGACAAAAGGCTGCAATCTATAAATGTATGTATCAATAGGCTGTAATGTATAATGGATTGATGTATTACAGGGTACTCTATACCAGTGGAAATAATGTATCGAAGGTTGACTATGATGAGAGATTATGATACATCACAGTCCCAGTGTCATATACCAGATTCTACACCTCACTTCCACTATGATATCTTGTCCAAATACTCATATATCCGGACATATCCATATGATCCTCACCCAATCCAGTTCACACATCCAATCCATACTCCATCCAATCCTCATCCAATCCTCATCCATGTCCTATCCAAACCCCTGGCTTTCAGACCTTCGGATCTCGTCCATGGTCATATCCGAAACTATTCCTGCGCACCTGCGCGTTACCCCATTTGGGATATACCTGTGTTTCTGGCTCTCGGATATCTCTGCTTCCATCTTGATAATGTATTCTGTACAAGTTTCATCTCCAAGTTCATTTCCTTATGATCTGTTTCACTTACTAATACATTTCCACATGCTCGTACATAGCCTTACCTCTCTGCTTACTGATCTGCACAGACTTGCCTCTAGTATATAAACTCCTGTAGAAACTCCTGTACTTCCTTAGTCTGAATATCATATTAGTCCTTGCACTAGATCTCACTCTAAGTCTTCATACAAGTTCTTTCCTCCTGAATATCCACCTTAGGCATAGGGAGGAATTCCCTAGGCCAGAGCTCTGCTCCTCCGCTCCTCTGCTCATCTGATCCTCCAGATCTTTCCCGTGGTCCTCCAGACCTATTCTGCTTCGGACTTTGTCCTTGCAGCCTTTCATCTGGTTGCTTCTACTCAGGACGTGTCCTGAGTAGCCATTATACATATCCGTATCAGGATGAAACCTCCATGGTAATTTCTGGAAGTTCCTCTGGAAGTTACTTACACCCGTCTGGAAAGTCTTTCCAAAGTTTCCCACACTCCTTCGGAAGTCCTTCGGACTTCCTTAGACTTTCTCTGGACACAATTCTGAAATTAAGGGTACATACTCAGGTAAGGGGCACAGCACACAAGCTGAAGCCAAGCCCCTTGGAATCAGTCCTACCCTTTGTGCACAGTCTTAACACCCAGGTACTGGTGAGGACTCAGTGAAAAAAGGACTACTATGAGGTGGGCAGAAGCAAAAGGCACTGTGCCACCTCACTTAGTTTGCACGTAGACTATATTCTATGCTAGCCTCATGCCCCAGCTAGCTTAGAAAGCCATCTAACTGTTTTGTCTAGGTCTTAAAGAGGCCACCCCTGGCATGGTTTTGCGACCCCCAAAACTCGACCCCTTGCAAAGCTCACCGAGCCTGCGGCTCTGCCATGATCATATTTTCAGACTGCCAAAATGTGATCTAGCCTGTGTGACCTATGTCGGAGGTCGAATCACGATCACACACTTTCGACCGAAAAACCTCATTCATAAACTCCAGGAATTCTGTGCACCTCTAACTCGTTAGCCTAGCACCTGTCACTTTTTCCTGATGGCCCAACAACAGCTTAGACTCGTTGCAACACAACAGGGAAAATGTCTGAATGAAAATGAAAAGTAAAAGTTTCATTGAATTATCATACATTCGAGTGCGAACACGTCTGAAGTTCAACATGTGTCAATCGAGAGAATGGCGTGGTTCCGGACTCAGATGACTCGTGAACCTGATTGGTGCTGCAAAACTGTAGGTGCATCCGAGTGACGAGGATCGTATGCATAACGATTTGAAATGATCCGAACATATTTGAAGAGGTGTACTGCGTAAAATATCATCAGGACCCTCAGCCAATATTGAGTTGAATTCAGATTGTGCGCACCGACAAGGATTCGATAACTACAATGTTGACCACCGATAGTGCTAGGATTGAATGATTAATTCCTTTTTGACAGCCATAAAAGTACTACTTGCCTATCCCAGTTCCGAAGTAAAAAATGTTATGTTGTACAAGGATTTCAAGCAGCAGACACCCTCTTTCGCGATATGCCCAATATACACGAATCATGGTGAGTGCCATGATCTCTGAGGCAAAAAGTGAGCACTCGACTACATTGTATAGCTTCGTGATCTCACCAAGCTCGAACGCTACCAGGAGTGTCCAAGGATATGCAGACATCGTGTCGCGAGATAGTGAGTAACAACCGCCACCTATGTCTGATAGTTGGACTGTCGTTGACCCACACTGAGTGATTTACATGCGGTTCTTGAAGACACTCACGTTCCAAGCGTTTGGAAATCGTCATTGTGATTATCACGTCCAAGATCGCAAGGCACTGAAGTGAGGTGTGTCAGAGTACGGAATGCGGGAACGCAACTGTATGCGCACAAGTACCGTTGACAACATGATACCCAGAATGAATTTCTTGTTTCCCCATAATGCATAGGTGCGAAGGACGAAGATACCTGGAGATCCTGTGAGTGTTCTGCGTGAATACACTATAATACTCGTAATACCTTCTGCACCAGCTATGCACAATGCAGCAGCAACTGAAGAAAGAACTTGGAGCGGAACCAATTGCATTATTACAATACTTACGAAACCATATTGAATGTAGAAGTTTGCAAGTCTACATCGGCGAATCCTCAGGACGGTGATATTATTTCCGACAGATGCTCACCACAATGTTTTCATTTGGGAGATAGTTCACTTCCGTATCCTGGTTAGCTGCAAGTTGACAATAGAGCATACTATTTGGACTCACTGCATAAGTGTATACAGAGCACGAAGGCTGGCATGTATCTCGTCATGACATAAAGAATACTTCCTGCCTTCCACGGTGGCGAATGAATCGAAGATATCTATACATGACAGTTAGCCTAACCTATCGATTGACAGGCTATATCTCGCAAAGATGAAATTACCTCCCGGTCTAAGGTCAGGAAACAATCGTAGGCCTATGACTAGATGTTTGCGGATGACGACTGAGCAAATGAGAGTGCGCACCCAAAAAACCACTAGTGACACTAGTACGAACCCCGTTAGCTATGAAAGACTATTATAGTCGAAATGATAGCACCGAAAAAATACTGTCAGTGCCAGGATTATAGATGAGTGAAGCGAAAACGTCAACAAATATCAATCACTTACATCCTGGTACTGGATGCTGGTTGATAGGTCAATGGAGGTTTGTAAATCCATGCTTCAGAAAGAGGATAGAGGTGCTAGTATCGCCGGGCATGGTAGGCAGCATATATAGCAGAATATTCCGATCCGTCGTGACTCATCAGGTTGCAACGGCACCATGATAAAGTAACATGTCAATCAAGCCAAGCAAGGGTCAAAAGTCTTTGACTACTTAAATGCACCTTGTTTTTGAATTTTGTAAGCAGGATAGAACAGTATCACACGCGCCACGGGCCTTATACTCAGGGCCGTCGGCACATCGCGTGACGATACCGTACCAATGGCAGTCCACTTATGAAACTTTGAAAGTTTTGTCAATGTAAAGTTTGTGTAAAGTAATCGTCAAATTCAATCATCTGTGGCAGCTCGCTACACCCTGTGCACACTAACTTGACAGCCTCAGTACCTGGTAAGGAGGCTTTAGACCTGCTAAGATATGCTCGTGTATGCGCGAGTTCTGAACAATCGTGCATATGACAAAAGTATTTTGAGGGACAACAAATCTAAAACGAATCAATCTACGAGCTCTCAACAAATGCCTTGCCTTTCTCAACGTTCTTCTTGAGTTCAGGCAAGCAGGCCTCCATCAGCTTCTCTTCTTCAGCGGAAAGAGGCCCGAGAGGGTAAATTTTCTCGACGCCATTGACCTGCGGAGTATTGAGCATGAATGAAGAGGATCTCTTGTTCCGTTACTTACACCAAGTTCTACATTGGACGAGAAGAAGTCAATACCCTGGTCCTTGTAAAGAGGGCTCTCGACGAAGGTAGGTGTGATGACACCTTTCTCGCCATTTAAACCTCGTAACAGAGAGTTGGTGAATTTGGCACCAGCATATGCCATCGAAAGGGTGGCGCTACCAGCACCGTCTTTAGCCTTCACAACCTCGTCACCACCGAACTGTATGCGGTGGACAAGAGCCTTGTAAATGTCGCCTGTGATAGCTTTTCCGTGTGCATTCTGTGAGAGCAAAGGCACAATGGTCGCGCCACTGTGACCACCCACAACAGTTATGGGAGTATCTGCGGGTTTAACCCCTGCAATACCAGCGGTGAAGCGAGCAGCACGAACAACATCAAGGGTCGTTACACCAAATAAGCGAGCGGGGTTGTAAACGCCAGCTTTCTGAAGGGTAGAGGCAACAATGGGAACGGTGGAATTGACAGGATTTGAAATGACGAGAATATGGGCAGTAGGGGCGACGCGACCAATTGCTGCTGCTAGGTCGCGAACAATGGAAGCGTTGGTCTTCCGAAATAGAATTAGCAGCGCCTAATGTAATGGAAGGCATGAATAACTGACATTAAATAGATCATCGCGGGTCATCTATAAAGGTGTTAGAGCAGAGCAACAGATGGATTGTAGGACTTACACCAGGCTGAAAGGCAGGGTCAGGACTGTGCAAGGGCATGAGTATAGGGAGAGGAAACACACCTTTCTCGGGACACCAGCAGGGATAACAACAACTTGGGCGCCGTCAAGGGCTTCGTCAAGCTTGTCTGCAGGGTAACCATTGACCTTGGAAGCTGATTGAACTAACCCATGATTAATGTATGTAGCAAGTAACGACGTACCTCACTGTGAGCGTCAACATGGCTTACATCAGCTGCAACACCGGGTGCGCCACGGATATCATAGAGACTGAGAGAGGTGACGAGAGGGTCAGTCTTGAGAAGGAGTGACAATGGTTGTC